AGCAGTAGCAGCAGAAGCAGCAGTAGCAGTAGCAGTAGCAGTAGCAGCAGCAGCGCTAGAAGCAGCAGTAGCACGAGCAGCAACAGGAGGAGCAAGAGGAGGAGGAGGAGGAGGAGGAGCTGCAGCAGCCACAGCAGTAGCAGTAGGACTAATGACAATGAACATGGGTTTTTGCAGCTACGAATACGTTTGTGATGACAGTGACGACGCCAGCAATTGCGAAGACAGTCGTGGACGCGGGAACTCTCAGCTTAAAAACTTCAATCACGACTTGATATGTCATATTTTAGCAGGACAAACCCTAAACCCTAAACCCAAAACCCAAAACCCTAAACCCTAAACGAAGCTTCGGTGATTGGCCGGGCCCGGGAGGCCTCCTTGGGCCAGGCTTTCGCCGCTTCCTTGGCCAGGCGCCAGGTCTCGTCGTCGAGATTGCCATGCTCCTGGGAGATAACCCCTTTCGGGATGTAGGAGTTTTGTGGTGTTCTTTGATTTAAGGATTTAAGGGTTTTAGGCGGTTTGATTCTGGGATCTGAGATTTCAGGGATTCGATTCGGGTTTTGGTGGACTGCATGAATCGAGCACAGACTCCTGATACTGGACAATCCAGCAAGCTCTGAAAGCTTCAATGCCGAGTCAGCCCGACTGGTGCTAAACGTATCTCGGTTGAGGACTTGTGTATCTTGGATTTGGATGAATGTCAAAACATTGTCAAGCAAAGGCTTGAAATGATCGTGCAAAATCGTGAATGATACCAGAATCTTATTGAAAAGTGTAGACCCGGCGTCAAAAAAGTGCTGTTCACTTGTTGTTCTGGTTTGCGGACGAAAAACGCCGGTTGCTGTTCATGTGTTAGTCGCGACTTGTCTTGAAACCTGCGCTTCAGGCGACTGTGTACGTTTACCCAAAACAACCGACCCTAGCCGCAAATCCGTTCACAGTCGCAAACCTTAGCGTTGAGGGCTTGAGGATTGCTGAAGCGGATTGTGAGCTCGGTTTTCGGATCTCCTCTGCCACGATAGCCAGGAGAACGAAGCCGGCAGCGACCACCTCGCGGTGTGCCTCCGTGCTCAGTTCTTGCGTGCAGGACCTTCAGCTTCAGGGTGTAGGAAGTTGCAGTCGGATTCTTGTTGAGGATTTGGGCGCCTTGCAATCACATGGGGCTGCAGGCCATGCAAACACCGAAAACCAATGACACAGACACGGAGAAAAGGCCAGACCCGAAGGTCTCACCAGACGCAACGTGGGCCTCCATGCGCTTCAGCAGCTCCTCAGGTAGGGCTCGGGCAGTAATGCTTCGGACCATAGGAGCCATAGGATCTGGGCATATCTCTCGTCGGTGTTTCTGGTCCTGTACACTGTGCCTCACCCCTGCCTTCGGACCCTTCAGCCCTACACTTCGACCTTCTTTGAGCAGCTGAGCTGGGCACCACCGAGATGTTGACAGCATCCGCCTCCATCACTCGCCGCAGGTGAAGACCTGGTGTGTTCAATGCGAGTATCTTGGGCGACTTCAAGCGTTGTTCACTTGCACCTTCGATGTAGCATACTCATAAACATATGCAAATACATATATGTACATGTATGTATATATACACTTATTTATTTGTGCATATTCGACGGATGGGTAGCTGAGCTAGATAGATAGATGGAGTTAGATGGACAGACCGCTAGATACATGTATAGAGTCTAGAGAAACAGAGGGACAGATGGAGAGATGGGTAGATAGGCAGACAGATAGATAGATGGATGGATGAATACATGCATAGACATAAATAAGTGTACGCATACAACAAACGAAATCACGAAGGTGACAATAAGAACAATGGTCAAAATAACAATAACAATGAGAAAGATTGACACAAGTAGTAAAAGAACAGGTTTGTCTAATACAATCCTCAGTTACGGAATGTTACGGATGTCTGCAGGGGCAAGGGGCTGAAACGCCTGGGCTCCTGGCGCGGGCCCGCACTGAGCGCGATGAGGGCCCGGAGGCCCTCAGCGAATGCGGCCGCAGAGGGCAGCGCCTGGATCTGAGCCTGGCAACAAGTCCAAGAGAAAGAGAGAGAGAGAAACTGTACGTCTGCGTGTACACACATCATGCATGCATATATACGTATATATATATATATATGTATATATACATACATACATACATACATACATACATACACATGAATAAATATCTGTATATATAAATGCTGTAGCATAAAGCTTTTTCACACACACACACACATACATATATATATATATATTATATATATATATAAAGGGGTTGGCTGGATCTTGGCGAGGGCTCATGGCTTTTGTAAAGCGCGCCTTTCGATGCTAACGCGGATCAGAATCTACGCCGCTACGCTGCACCCCACCCCTTAGACCCTAAACTCTAAACCCTAAACCCTAAACCCCTAGGCTAAGGGTCTACGATTCCCGCCTGCAGAAGCGCCACAACGGCGTGGGATGCGCGCAGCTGCGCCAAGTGCCGGAGCGACTCCGGGGAGTTGAGCCTCTGGCTTCCGTATCTTTTTCAGGGGTTTAGGATTTTTTGGGTGTAGGGCTTTAGGGCTTTGGGTTTAGGGCTTAGGGTTTCAGGGTGATTGCTGTCATTGCATACTATGATTGAACCTTTTATGAGAGATATGACGATTCTGATTGCTACAGTTTCTATGATTAGTATGATTTTTATGACGAATATGAACCTGATGATTGTTTTGATTGTTGTGATTGCTACGGCAATTCAGCAACTAATATGGCAATATGAATGTTATGATGACTATGCTTTCCCATGTGCATTACACTGTTCGGTATACGAAGGCTTATTACCAACAAATACAACGGTTACTAGTTCCAAGCTTTTGTGGCTTTGGGTTTATGGTTTGGGGTCCTTCAATGACAAGTTGAGAGTCCTCTGCTTGATGGCCGGACAGCAAGTACATGGAAGATATGTTCTGCAGTCTCAGAAAAGGATACCTATCACTTTTGGCTTCGAACAGGCGCACACGACTGCGTTCAGGTGGCGCCAAACTCTGTAGCGCGCAGAAAGCGGCCACTTTCATGTCTGCTTTTCGAGGATATGACGCCTGCATAGGGATTGATTACACAGAAAGACAGGGCAACGCTTTCTGCTGATTGACATGAGATGTGACGGCCTTCATCAGCTCCATCAGGCTGACGAGCACTTGGCCCAACCGTCGCCGCGTGTTGCCATAGGCCGCGTACCTCAAGCTCTCGAGCATCTGGGGCTGCACTCAAGATAAACGCGGGCAAAAAAGTCGAGACCGCTTCGCCGCGGCATTGCTACTCCAGCCAAAGAGCCCACAGCTGTCCTCAAGCCACCAAGCAGCCTCGGAGTCAACTCGGAATCCACAGGCCACAGGCCAAAAGCAGGCTGAAAGCTCAGAGCTGGGCCGTCTTTCGTCGCCCGAGGCGATGTGCCTGACTCGGAGTCTTCCCCCCCCCCCCCCCTCCCCTCCGAATCTTGCACTCAAAACGCCCCCATCTTTGCACAGAACTCCCCCCCAGCTTCCCGGAGCCTCTTTGGCA